GCCGCTCGAGCCGCGAACCTCTTGCATTCCTCTTGGATGGCTCCCACCACTGCGTGCGAGGTCTCGATCAGCACCGTCCGAGTGACCGCTCCCCACATCGCCCTCGACGTCTGAGTGACTTGGGCCACCAGCATCAATAGCAGCAGCGGCAGCTCCTTGAGGCCCGCGTCCTTCGTGGTGAGCTTGCGCTCCTCCGCCCCGGCTCGGCGACGCCCACCTCTGCGTACTCGTGTCCCCGTCCCCTCCTTGGAGGCGCCCGTCTGGATGCCCCCCTCCTCGCCCTTCTGCTTCTTCCGATCTTCGTCTCTGGAGGCGGTCCCACCATTCGCTGAATGGGCCGAGGAGGCCGCCGAGGGGCGCCACGCCCGCATCACTGGCCCCCACAGGAGTAAGTGTTTTCACCAGCAGGCCTTGAGCAGTTCGGAGATCATTTCCTCGGAGTCGGGGCTCTCGGCGGAGGCTTGGGTCGCGGGGGCCGCGGCTGAGTAGGTGGAGGTCTCGGTTCAACAACTGATATGGATCCACCCTCTTGCGTCGGTGGCAGGTGAGAGCATAGACGATTACGGAGGGTCTCGTACGTGGGGTACTTCATGTTGCACAATGCACATGTACATGAAGTAGGGATGATGCACTTGTATGGGTACGCCGTATGGTGTCTTATACATCTTCCTGCGTGCCATGATCGGGCTAAATGCCGTACTGCTTCTGTGCGTGATTGAAATACGGTACCACAGTTGATACATGCATTACTGGGTGTAACAGTATGAAGACACTTTGTCCACCATGCCCATATTGCTTGCTTTGGCACACATGTGCTACTGGGGCTGCGCGCGTGCGAAATACTTGACCACAAACCTGACCATCTGAACTGATTGGGATAGTGCATTGGAAAGACCCTGCTGCATTTCCCCACGACACATCACCATCCTGGGCTCTTGGCACGACGGCCGCCAGCGCCTCTGGTGGGCGTCGCTCGGTCGCCGCAAAGGCGCTGCGCAGGCACCGCGGGTCGAAGGTGGCGAAGAGGTGGTTAACGTCCTCGTCCGTTCCGTGGTCGACCCTCCTCATGTCGAGGCAAAGTTCTCGCTTTCGGGGCAGCTGCACACCACCTCCAGATCTCGTCGTAGTTGACGTGCCCAGGGATGGATGGCCTCGTCGACGTTCAGTGAGTCGTCCGCCAATAAGGTCGGAGGACAACGCAAGTCAGAGTTCAGCTCCCACCGCATCTGCCCGAACAAGACGGAAAGGAAGTGGGTGTGGTTGTAACGTGGCCGCACGACGGCTTGCCAATAACGAATTCTCTGCACCGTGGCCTCCTAAGCAAAGGGGACCAAGCTCCAATACCTGTACGCTGTACGCGTGGTAAGGGTGCGGATGTGGTCTGGAGCCTCCTTCGCGGTGCCACCCATCATCGACCTCAACTTCCTCGCAAACGATCCGCGCATCTGCTTCAACTCAGGCTCCGTCCAGCAAAATACAATCGCGCCTGAAAGACCTGCCTCAGTGACCAGCGAGATGAACATTAATCGCTTCACGCGTAGCGGGGAGGCCGAGTACCAAAAGCCCTGCACCATCATCCACCCCCGATTTATAGCCTGCAACCGAGCCTGTATCTCGTTCGCGTTGCTATTCGCAGCGTTGAGCCAAGCCCCCAGATGCTTCAACTGACAGCCTCCACAGCAGCCGCTCGCAATGCGCACATCTATGGTGGCCCTGGTGAGCTGACGTCCTCGTAGTGCTGGCACCACGTCCTGCTTCGATCGGTTCTGACTGTAGTACCGTGCCACCAGTGCCCGGTCCAGTCGAAAGTCGCTCTGTTGAGACAAGCGCGCCACGCCCTTTGCCGTCACGCCTGACCTCGGGATCAGCTGACACTTGAACATGTCATCCATGAAGGCACCCATGCTGGCATCGATGGACGCGAACTTGTCAAATTGAATCATGGTGTCGCCGCCCGTGTAGGACTGCTCAAGGTTAGCCCAGCGCTGGATCGCAATATGATAGTTGGTCATGCATATCTCAGGCTCTGACGTGTCGCCCATGAAGCCTCCGCTGCCACTCTGAACGGCCACCTCAGTGTCCGCTCCCTGTGCGATCACCGTCAGCAATCGCCGACGACTGGCGGACACGTCCGCGAGGAAGCTCACGCCATCCTCAGGAACGTCCTCGGCCTCCTCGGGCCTCGCGCGAGCTCCCTCCTCCGGCTGGGCCTTCCGATCGCTGCCTGAACGCGCTGGTCGCGGCGCAGCTCCTGTGCAGCATCGGCTGGCCTGCCTGCGCTCCCTTCCACGGAACTACTCTCGTCGCAGTCATCAGGGGCTCCTTCCTTCTGCCTCGCGCAGCAGAGGCCCCGGAGGGAGGTCGGAAGGGGCCACGGCGAAGGAGGCCTCCCCGTGTGCGTGTGTGCCCGCCACCAGCAACGCATAACATGCGCCAGGCGCCTCTCTGCTGGACCCGCTTTCTCGTTCTTCTTGTCGGGGGCGAAGCCGTGGGGCAGGGG